AGTTTTTCCCAATTGTATCTGTTTCATCTATTGTTCCTTTTGTATGTAATTAATTGTATAAATTGCTTGAATGAATGATTAATTTAAGTTTTAAAATTGTAATTATATGATTTGAGATTTCTGTGAGTCCCTACGGGAAACCCTATGAGAAAATGGGCAAAATATGAATGTTTTCTATTTTGCCTTCTGATTGCTTTGTTGTGTTCCTTGTTGGATGTGATGCATGAGTATGTGGTTACTTTTGAAAATGAATATGTTTTTATATGAATTAGAGTGCTCTATGGGTTCCTACGCGAGAAACCCTATGAGAAAACGGACAAAATATGAATGTTTTCTGTTTTGTCTTCTGATTGCTTTGTTGTGTTCCTTAATGTTTGCAGAGTGTAAATATGTGTTTAATTTTGCAAATATATGAGTTTTAATATGGATTAAAGTGCTATGTGAGAATTGTGAATATAATGTGATAATGTGAATATGATGATGAAATATGATGATAGAATATGAGGATGAAATGTGATGATGAGATGTGATGATAATAATGTGATATGAGAATGCATAGAGTCTTGATTGACATGCATCATGTGCATAAATGTTTTTAAGGGTACAATATGAAATACACTGCCAGAGAAGGCCTCCTAGTGTAAAAGCTTTGGGGATTAGTCCTTGGGGAGAGCTCGGTTTGGAAGTCTCAGTCTCGCCCATTGTGTGCATGGGATGTATCTTGCGCGGCTTAGCTATCTCAACGAGACTCTGGTAGTATGTCCTTCTAGTGAGAGTGCACATAGGGTGTGACCCGGCATGTACTCCTAGACTACTCTTCGTGTATTGCTAGCGGCAATATGCCATGTGATATGTTACTGGCGCCACATGCATGATAAAATGTAGTCCGTGTCCATACATGTGCATTTTAATGTTATATGAAAAATTGATATGTCTTGGATGAGTGAGATGTGATGTTATTATTAATTTATCTATGTTATACCTGTTTTGTTTGTGTTTGGCTATCTGGCGTATATTTTTACACTATGAGCCAGAGTGAGATGTTTCTCACTCCCTTTTCTCTTGTGTTGTTTTCATTGACTGTCATACAGGTGATTATCAACATGAGGTTGAGGATGTTGATGATGAAGCTTAGGCTTCTATGTTGGGATTTGCTCTGATAGGACATGTGACATCGGGGCGTACATAAGATTAAATTAGGATGTTGTTTCTGTTAAATTATTTTGAAAACCTTAACCTTATTTCTTTTGTAATTACCACTGATCATGTTATATGTTTAAGTTATGAATGTGGTGCTCTCTATCTGAACATGTTTGGTATTTTTAAAAATGAAAGACTGTGGTATTCCAAATTTTATTATGTGTTATAGTATGCGGGGTAGAGGGTGTCACAATAAGAGTCCTTAAGGTAAGATAGGCCTCCAAATGTAGGATACCCTACAAAATAAGGGTAAATGCCCTACAATTCTTTCAACTATCTTTATCATCCTTCATCCTTCTTGATCTTAACTCTTCCAAAGGGATTCTTGAGAAGTAGGTTTCCATCAGAACTTTTAATGTTGGGTTGTTGAGGAATGAGAATAGTAACTAGAGTGGTGATTTTTTTTTAAAAAAAGGATCTACTTATTATGGTTGAGTTATGGGATATAGCTTTTATTTTTCATGTGGCTTAGAGTAAAAGGATAACAAGGGTTATTGTTGAGTGTAATTCTAAAACTATTATTCAGTTTGTCACTCATGGTGCGAGAAGATTGCATTACTATTAGTCTTTAGTTCAGTTTATCATAAACTAGACATAAAGACAATGGGAAGTTCAATACGTTCATAGTTTTAAAAAAGCTAATATGGTGTCTGATTGCATGACTTTTTTGACTCATTCTTATGATATAGGATCTCATTTCTTAGATGACCCTTATGTGGAATCTTTTTCTTTTTAATTAAGAGATATGATGAGTCTTTCTATGACCCATAGTATTCCTGTGTAATTTTTCCCGGGTCTCAACCTTCCTCAATATAAAAAAGAAAAAGTGGGCAGCCAACCATGACATAAATGTGTCCTTCAATTTCAAGATTACAACCTAAAGATAATAAACTACAAATTATTAAAGTTTTTTTTTTTAATCAGCACTATTACTAATAATCTTTTAATAACATAAAACTATAATAGCCCTTTATAATTATAACCCAGGTACTAATACATAAAACGACACGCATCATGAGTTACTAAATAAATAAAAATAATATTTGATTAATTTGGTTGGCAAACCAACCTATCCCGACACGCCATTTAGCTACATGAGTTAACAAGTTAGGCTAATGAACTAAAGTGCTCATAAATCATAACACACTTTACCTTCACTATAAAATATATATTTTAAATCAATAATTTGTACAATGTTAGGGCAAACATGCTAATATATTATATAATTTTAAAGTTATTAGAATTTAAATTGAAAGGGATAAAATTATATAATTATAATAGTCGAGAGGCTAAAATTGTTACCTTGAAATTTGTAGATCAAAATTGTACAATTGCAATACTCAAATGATTAAAATTACTCAATTAAAACATTAAAGAACTCACACAAGTACAATATATGAGGGATAAAAACGCATTAAGTCAAATTTAAATTATTTTGTCCAAATAATTTTTCATTTAAATAATATATCTTATGAATGAAAAAAAAATATTTTACGCAAAAAAAAAATATAAATGAAAGAAATTTAAATGTTTTATTCTAATATAAAGTTTTTAAAATGGAGATGTTTGATTGTTTTATTAAAGTAAAAAAATTTAGAAATGAAGAAATCTATTTGTCATGTTCAAATACAAGATTTTGAAAATACAAGAATTTAATTTCTTCATTCAAACAAGAGATTTAATTTCTTCATTCAAACAAGAGATTTTAAAATATTAAACATATAATTTTGTCCCTATATATAAAAATTTATTAAACCGACCATATACATGTAAATGTTATTGATTTGATAGCTAAAATTGTTAACACTCTTACATATTTTCAATTTAGTCTTAATATAAGTAGTGCATTCTTAATTTGGTTCTTACACAATAAAATATTCTTAATTTGATCATTTATATATTGGACCAAACCAATAATGAACTAAATGTGTAAGAACTAAATTAAAAGTGCATTCCATGTATAGTGATGAAAATAATAACGTGTAATGAGTTAAACATAATTAGGGAACAACTTTGTAATGTTTAATAAATATAGAGAATGATTTAATAAGTTTTTATGTATAGGGACTAAATTGAGAATCTTTAATACATACAAAAACTAAATTATATGATTAACCATTTTTAAAAATGCAAGAATTTCAATTGAAGCAATTGAAATTCTTGAAACTTAAAAATCTCTAGAATTATAAAATCCTCTGTCCAAACTCTATCTTATGATAAATTGTGATTGAATAACATTATAAACTTATTTTATGGCATCAACATCACCATTGAACTCTTAAAGTTATATGTAAGTAATGTTACATTTTTAATAAAAAAAATTCAACTAAAAAGTTATATTTTTTTAACCATTGTCATCTTTGATTTTTATTTATTTATTTATTTATCTATATAAATTGCAATGATGACAACATAATATAAACATAAGATCTTGTATATATTATTTCAATTTTTACTATGTATAAAAATTTAGTCCTTATATATAAAAATTCATTAAATCGATCCTATACATGTAAATGTTATTTATTTTATCCCTAAAATTGTTAACTCTCTTACATATTTTTAATTTATTCCTTGTATATGTAGTGCATTTTTAATTTGGTCCTTACACAATAACATATTCTTAATTTGATTCTTTATATATAGGACCAAATTAAGAATGAACTAAATGTGTAGGGACTAAATGAAGAGTGTGTTCCATGTATAAAGATGAAATTAATAATGTGTAATGAATTTAATAGAGTTAGGGACCAAGTTGGTAATGTTTAACAAATAGAAAGACTGATTTAATAAATTTTTATGCATAGGAACTAAATTGAGAATCTTAATACATACAAGGACTAAATTATATAGTCAACCATTTTAAAAAAATGCAAGAATTTCAATTGAAGCAATTAATTTTTAAAACTTAAAAATATCTAGAATTAAAAAATTCTCTATCAAAACTCTCCTCTATGACAAATTGTGGTCAAATAACATTATAAAATTGTTTTACGATATCAACATCACCATTAAACTCTTAAAGTTACATGTAAGTACATAGTTACACTTTTTAATAAAGAATTTAATTAAAGAATTATACTTTTTAACTATTGTAACAGCCCAAAATCGCTGGGCCAGAGGCCCAATTGGAGAAGTAGAACGGGCCGTTCTGCTGGGATTGAGAATGGAAATTTATGCAGACTTCTTGGCAACGTGAACAAGCAGGTCAATCACGCGGGAGCTGCAGAACCACGGAACACAGCATGTATTAGATTTTTGGCCAAATTAAAAACACATACCAAATCTGTTAAGCGACGCACTAACCCATCATCATATGTATTTGAAAAGGTTTAAGGTGGATTACCTGTATCCCCACTCATTGTCGTACCACGACACAAGCTTCACAAAATTCTTACTCAATGCAATTCCAGCCTTTGCATCAAAAATGCTTGATCTGGCACAATGATAAAGAAAAAGGTCAATAGTTCATTACAGAAAAAGGCAAATATTGTCAAATGAAAAAAGGCATCCCCACTGCCGGCCATCATGTGTGATAAATATAACTTTCCAACTGCCAACATAATTTATACCTGCTATCACCCACAAAGTCGGTGGAGACCACATCATCTTCAGTGTAACCAAGAATTCCCTTCAACTTGCCCTCTGACTCCTCCCTAAGAAAGACAACATTATATAAGACTCTAATGCAGAAGTACCAATTCCAAAATGGAGGCACTTTCAAATAAATATTTTTAATTCACATACGATCATCAGTCTATTGATATTTGGTTACCTGTTATGAATCTTATCTTACATACTACTTGCTGCTAAGTTAGATTTATGTTTTTGTTTTGAACACCAGCTACTCAGAAGACTGTCGATGGGCCATCAGCCAAAGACTGGAGAGGTGGAAGGGCTGCTTCATTTAACATCATTCCTAGCAGCACCGGAGCTGCCAAGGTGAACATTTGATACTCTATATGGGGGGTGCATTTGGCTCTTTACCATAAATTGATATTATATTATTTACAGATAACTTTTTGATTATACTTATTTTTTCTTTCCTGTGTGAAGGCTGTTGGGAAAGTCCTCCCATCTTTGAATGGAAAATTGACTGGAATGGCATTCCGTGTTCCTACTGTCGATGTCTCTGTTGTTGACCTCACAGTGAGGTTGGAGAAGCCAGCTTCATATGAAGATATTAAAAATGCTATCAAGTAAGGGAAAAATATTTGTATTATTGGATCGTATGTGAATTAAAAATATTTATTTGAAAGTGCCTCCATTTTGGAATTGGTCCTTCTGCATTAGAGTCTTATATAATGTTGTCTTTCTTAGGGAGGAGTCAGAGGGCAAGTTGAAGGGAATTCTTGGTTACACTGAAGATGATGTGGTCTCCACCGACTTTGTGGGTGATAGCAGGTATAAATTATGTTGGCAGTTGGAAAGTTATATTTATCACACATGATGGCCGGCAGTGGGGATGCCTTTTTTCATTTGACAATATTTGCCTTTTTCTGTAATGAACTATTGACCTTTTTCTTTATCATTGTGCCAGATAAGCATTTTTGATGCAAAGGCTGGAATTGCATTGAGTAAGAATTTTGTGAAGATTGTGTAGTGGTACGACAATGAGTGGGGATACAGGTAATCCACCTTAAACCTTTTCAAATACATATGATGATGGGGTAGTGCATCACTTAACAGATTTGGGATGTGTTTTTAATTTGGCCAAAAATCTAATACATGCTGTGTTCCGTGGTTCTGCAGCTCCTGCGTGATTGACCTGCTTGTTCACGTTGCCAAGAAGTCTGCATAAATTATAACTTATATATATATTGTTTATTGATAAAATTTATAACGTAAGCTTTCAAGATAATAATATAAAAACCATAATTCATCAATTAAATCAACAAAATTCTTTCATATTTCAAAAAGTTAATCATAGAAAAAAAACACCAATGTAATTTAATTTCTCATTAAGTTTTGGTATATAAAGTGGTCAAGTTCACCCAAAAGATAAATTTTAAACAAAGTTACCCCAATCCAAACATTCTGTACTAAACCAAAAATAGTTAAATTTAAACCTAAGTTCAGATATATTATAAAATATGATCAGAAAATATATAATCCAAAATTAATTATTTAAAGGAGAGGAGAAAAATATATAAACCAAGAATTTAATAATTTAAAGGAGTAGGAGGGGTTCAAACACTCGAGAACTATGACACATGGTTGAATAAAGGAGGGCAAGTGTCTAATATTAGAATCAATAAAGCCGAGTACAACATCAGCAAGTATATAAAAGTACAAAAACTCCATCCCCTCCACAAAAGATGCCACGCCAAAAAGCTAGAAAAGAGAGAAGAGCAGCTTAATGCTCCTAACAGTGCACTGGTTCGGGAAAACAGATTTATTCAGACTCATTTTTTTCACGAGCAAGACACTAAACATAATAAGGTACTATTTATGCAGACTTCTTGGCAACGTGAACAAGCAGGTCAATCACGCGGGAGCTGCAGAACCACGGAACACAGCAGGTATTAGATTTAGCCAAGTTAACAACTTATTGCAAATTGTTAAGTGACATATTTGTAAAGTTACAATATGTGTTGGGGTAGTAAGGGTGTTACAACTATTCTCATCTATGATTTATTTTTTTATTTATACAAATTATAATGACAGTAACAAAAAAATAAATATAAGATATTGTGTATATTACTTTAATTTTTATTATTAGATCAATTATAATGACTAATTATCGTCATTTATTACTTTTCTATTTTATAAAATAAAAATATTAATATTTTAGTGTTTAGCCAAGTTAACAACTTATTGCAAATTGTTAAGTGACACACTACCACTATCATATACACAAGAAACGGTTTAAGGTGGATTACCTGTATCCCCACTCATTGTCGTACCACGACACAAGCTTCACAAAATTCTTACTCAATGCAATTCCAGCCTTTGCATCAAAAATGCTTGATCTGGAAGAATAATGTAGAAAAAAATGTAATAGATTATTCGAGAATCAATTCAAGTAAATGTTGACAACTGAAAAAGGGCATCATCACTGCCATCTACCATGTGTGTTAAATAACTTCTCAACTGTCAACATAATTTATACCTGCTATCACCCACAAAGTCGGTGGAGACCACATCATCTTCGGTGTAACCAAGAATTCCCTTCAACTTGCCCTCTGACTCCTCCCTAAGAAAGACAACATTATATAAGACTCTAATGCAGAAGGACCAATTCCAAAATGGAGGCACTTTCAAATAAATATTTTTAATTCACATACGATCCAATAATACAAATATTTTTCCCTTACTTGATAGCATTTTTAATATCTTCATATGAAGCTGCCTTCTACAACCTCACTGTGAGGTCAACAACAGAGACATCGACAGTAGGAACACGGAATGCCATTCCAGTCAATTTTCCATTCAAAGATGGGAGGACTTTCCCAACAACCTTCACACAGGAAAGAAAAACTGAGTATAATCAAAAAGTTATCTGTAAACAATATAATATCAATTTATGGTAAAGAGCCAAATGCACCCCACATATAGAGTATCAAATGTTCACCTTGGCAGCTCCAGTGTTGCTAGGAATGATGTTAAATGAAGCAGCCCTTCACGTAAAACCCTTTGTTGGCTTCGCATAACTTGAGAAACCTCTCGGCAAAGCGTAGATGAACCTAAGCATCAAAATGATGAGTTCAACATCTCAACACAACATAAAATCGAAGTTATTATCACCAAAACGATTGGAACAACAAAAACATGGGAAATCGCTCGATGGTACTGGTCGGAGTCCTTGTGAAGGCCGCGCAATGAGAATTCGTAGTCAACGACGGTGGAAGCGACCTGCGAGATCGAAGAGATAAGTGAAATTGAACTGTGAGAAGAGCTGAGCGAGGAAAAATAGAATAGAAAATGGAAAGAATTGGCACTGCTGAGACGACACGAGCGGTTGTGGGTGGCGTCGTCGGTGGCACTGGTGGCCTTGATGTAAACGTCCCACAAGATCTTCTTGTGGTCGGAGACGACCTAGAGGAGGAAGGAGGGGAAGTCATAGCGGCAGCGGTAAGTGTTGGGGTTAGGGCTGGAGCGGAGGTGGACGAGGGTGCTGTCGATGGCGCCGCACATGTTGGAGAGGGAATAGCGGGAGGCTAGGGTTTTGGCGGAGAGGTGTGGGCGAGGCGCGAGAGGACCATGGCGACGGCGTAGTCGAAGGGGAGGGAGAGGTTGGAGAGGGCGATGTGTGTCGAGAGGGTTCAATCTTGTGAGAGTGCCCACCAGAGTGTTGTGTCGAGAGGGTGAATGGGCCACGAAAATTTGGCTTGAGTTTTACATCGGTTAAATGAAAAACCCGATGTAGAATAATATTATCAATCAAATTTTACATCGGTCAGAAATAGACCCGATGTAGAATGGTTTACTTCTTTAATTTAATTACAAGATTACCACCGCTTTTTCTTATTTACATCGTTTATAGAGAAACCGATGTAGATGTAATGATGTAAAATAGTAATTTTGTAGTAGTG